AAAAAATCTCTCGATCTGTGCACAGTTTATAGTCTGAGCCATTCTCAAATTGTAAAACTACTGACAGTCCGAAACTACCGCCCAATAGCGGTTGTGTATGCATGTTGTAGACTACTAGGCAGTTAATCGAATCGCATTTGCGTTGGAAAGAGTCGAACCTTATTAGCTGAACTATTGAGGCAGCATTGGGCTGAGCCATTTTGGCTGATTGGGGTCACGCGTAATCAGATGGAAGCCTTCTAATCAGTGAGAAAGATGTGCTTTAGAGACGGCGGTAATCTCTTAAATCCGATCTCTGCAGACCTTTGGGATAGTCCCAAATTGCAATGTGTCCCCAAAAATTGCCTTGCAATGGCTGAGCCATTAAATGGTTAAGATGAATGTCTTTCAAATGAATGTCTTTCACTCTCCATGGAATTTATTCACTGGCACACAGATTGCAGGTTAAAATGACTTGTATCTGATGAGTTTGTAGCAGTTCACATGGCATAAGTCGTGAGTCACATTTTGCCACGGTACATTCTTTCAACGCCGTTTTAATTTGGGTTGTGTCGTTATTGTCTATCGTTACTCACTACCATTTTACCAAGACTTCTGCATTCATCCGCAGTTGACGAAACAGACCTAGATGAATAATTATCATGGCCCGTACTTACTCCCTTTCGGATTGTTCGTAGGATAGAGACTTGGAATGACAACGTCATTAAATTTAATGAACATTTCAAAGGCACTAACAGAAATATCCAGATAGCGTACGGCGATAGCAAGTTTCTATTCTTTAACGTCGTGATTTCTTTGACAAAAAGTTATCAATCAAAATGAAATGAAAATTGATAATTTAAACATAGAGCGGTTGTTTCACTGCTTATAGGACCTTGGCAGACACAGGATGTTCTCTTAATTTTGACTCTGACGAAGCGGTCTGACGGTCTTGGCCTTAGATCAGAAGAAGCGAGATTTTTCCAGACTCTGTATCAATTTCACTTCAGCAGCAGAACTCTGATCTTTGAATCAATTATATAGCCATCGGAAAAATTTATAGGGGAAATTTTGTATTGTTGTCTGGATTTTTGTTCGAATTCTGTTTCGTTGATGCTTTGTTTCGTCCTCACAACTTCTGAATTGAGTCACGAACCTGGTTACCTCAATCTGATGGAACGGGGAATTACGTCAGGGTTCTCCTTTGTCACAGGTGATTCTCCACCTCGAGATGCAAAACAGCTGAGAATCTTGTTCTGGCATAGAGTAGGCGTGTATTTTTTGATTCTGTTTTGATCTAATTGAACAAAAAAGAACTTTATATAAAGTACTCCATGCAAACTTTTTGCATTTTACATAAAATTTCAATTTATTCCCAATGCCTATGACTCCTAAAACTCCGTAAAGACACCTTGCTTACTGCAGAAATGAGGTTCGAAAAGTTTCGGAACAGGGAAATTCAAAACAAACGGGTATAAGCTACTTCTGCTCCACGTCGAAAGGCGCGACTCTGATGTTTTAGACATATGATTGGTTGCCAGAAACAGAAAACACTCTCAGGACGAACGCTCTTGTCAAAGTCATGAAAAGCTGGTACAGGGGCAGATCGCAAACCATATGACTCAGTTATATAGAAGACTTGTATAGTCGCGCCTTGGAATTCATTTTTGCCGATATGCTGTAGAGGGAGCAGGTGAAATGGAAACAAAACAATGCGTGTGGCAGCCTCAACCGAAATTGTTTACGCAGCGTCGTTGTGCTGACGAATACCGACGAAGTAATCGTTGAGTGGATGGCTTTGAAATGAGCTTGTACGAGCATCAGATTTCAGCTTCGCTTCTGGCGCTTTTGATCGGCTGCGAACCATCTGTTGCCAGTGTCGAAACTGATATCAAGGAGTACGAACAATTTCCTACTGGTTCCTTTAAGGAAATTTTTGTCGTCACGGTAGTCTTCGCGGCTCTGGCGAAAGACCAACAGGTAACTAAAGGAACAATCTACCTAATGCGTCGTTTGTTTTCTTTCGTCATTACTTCCAGAGACCTTAGACAGTCATCGTCAGGTGACGAGCTCACAGTTTTATCAAGAAGAAACAGCGTCATCCAGAAGAGCTTTCAAGAGGTTGCGCAATGCTGACGCAGACTTTGGGTAAGAAGTGGCTCTGCTCTGCTTAATTCGACGAGTTCAGTTGCTCATCTGGCGATCGGATAGGCAACGCCATGATGTTAATGAGTGTATCTGCCTCTGGCTTGAATTAAGGATGATGAGTACAAAGGGGCAACTAAAACTTGGTCACTTTCATAGATAGTGCCCTGTTCCGGAAAGTGTCGTACAGATTCCATTCAGGTTTGCTCAATGATTCCTGATTAAGCGAAAGTCTGACGGATCAAGCCACTTGACTTATTGTGCGGTGAGGCAGAATTAGCAAATTTCTCTCTGCTCATACTATCATTGAACTTGCATGTGATATACAATCTATAAGGAGCTGTGATGGCAAAAGTTGTCACTGAAATACGGGAATAGCTGCAGTTGAAATGCATGTATTTGCCTAAATACTGAAAATAGTGTTTCTAAGCTATAAAGGTCCAAACTGATGAGGTCAAAGCCCAATATCTTGCTGATTTATTAATACACGTCACCATCAGATGCTCATTTCCTAAGCAGTCGAACCAAAGCAAATTATAACGAATTTTTCGCTGATTAAGCGAGTTGGCAACGAATGGTATCTTATTTACTTAGTTTAAAAAATAGCATTCCTGCCTGTTATGTCAAATCTATCACTAACGCCAAAATAGCAAGTCCAGTTT